CGGGCGGCGGGCGCGGCGCGGCCCCCGGACGCGGCCGCGCACACCCGCACCCCCACCCCCCACACCCACCCCCACACCCCACCCACACCCACACCCACACCCACACCCACACCCTACTACAACGGTGACAACAACAACAGCATCTAGTACAACGACTTCTGAAACAAGTGCAACAACATCGGTTACGACAACATCAACGACAACTTCTTCGACATCAACATCATCTACATCAACCACATCGAAACATCCACCACAACGTCTACTACAACATCCATTACAACAACAACGACAACAACTACCTCGATCACCACAACTATGTAAGTTATGAAAAAAAAGTCCTTCAATCAACCTAAATAATCACAGTAGTAGTATTACTGTTTCTTAGTTGCTTTTTGTTGTCATAATCATATGATAGGAATATTTGTCAAATTTCGGTATTATTCAAGAAAAAAAGTTTTTCGAATAACATTCGATGTTCACTCTTGGTTTCTATTTAAGAACTCAAGAGCTCAAAAGAAACACTAACGAAACTATATTTCTAATTGTTTTTATTTTTTTAGTACTACAGCAACAGCAATAACAACAACAACAAAACATTCAGGCAAGACTTATTAAATTTTTGTTTAATTTTTATTCATGATCGATCTGTTTCACGAGAGAACTAGCCGAAGTGTTAATCGCAGATTCGATAGCGCTTGACGAACTGATTCTTATAGTATCAAGCGTTCTTTTCTATCGAATCGCTAACTAGACAAAATTCATCAATCCTACTCGTGTAGGATTACATTTGAGATATCAAACACTAAAGTTTCTACATGTATTAATATGTGAAAGATAAAACTTCATCATTGATGCTCTGCGTTCTGTTTGTACATTGCCATTTAATAGACTAAAAGATGTCCAACGATGTCTTATCCTGTATGTTACGATCATTATGGATATATATATATATATGTATATATCCATTATCTACATATTATGCTCTGATAGATATCGATAATTCTGAGAGAACATTACTTAAAACACCTGTAGTTTTAGCATTACTGACTGTAAGATCTAAGTATACGAATATCGACCTGTTTGTTCTTTCGCATGTTTTACTCTGAGAGATTCGGTGCAGAATAAATTACAGCCGTAAACAATAAAGAAGTGTTCAAACTACATTGTTTACCTAGAATTATCGACGTTTTTCATAGCATAATACATAGGTCATGCATATATATATATATATAATGGTAGTAACATTGTAACATACAGAATAAAAAAAATCATCGGACATTTTTTAGTCTATCGAGTAACAATGTACAAGCAAAACGTACAGCGTCGATGATGAAGTTTTATCTCTCACATGCTAATATATGTAAAAACTTCAGTGTTTAGTGCCTCAAATGTAATCTTACACGAGTGGAATTGATTAATTTTGCCCAGTTAAAGATTTGATAGGGGTGAACACTTGATACCGTAAGAATCAGCTCGTCGAACTCTATCAACTAGAACAAATCTCCATCGAATCTGCAATTAATACTTCGGATGGTTTTTTCATCGGACAAAGGCTGAGAAATTTTTGAACAACATCATCAAACAATAAGTTTTTTAATCGATATGAAACGCTCAGCGAAAACCCATTTAATACGAAGATAAAATGTTTGAAATCAATCTATATCAATATGCTTTTACTTTGAAAAATCTCAAGATTTTCATATATTCTCATGTTGACTTTAGTTTTCTTGATATTGATTTAATACAATTGATTCAAATAAAATATTTCTCTTTCATGTAGAATCATCTATAAGTTGGTTACTGATTTTGGACTTATCGTTATTAGTTTTATTGTTAGCTATATGCTTTTGTTGTTGTTTATATTGGCTATTATGGTAAGTATTTTCATTTTGATTTCTGTCATGATGCAACTAAACTTGCTGATTATATATACTAAAGAAACATTGAAATGAAGCTTCTCACTAATTAGATGAACAAAAAATTGCAAGTTACTTTTTGCTATACGCTATTCTTAGAAAAATAAGATCATTTGTTGATAATAGAATGAAGTAAGAATTAATTTTTTTTTCTAATAGTCGTGCTTGCTCCCGCCGTCAACGACGCAAATTAAAAGAAGAATATATTTGTGCACGAGCTATCGATTCAAGACTTACAAGTTTTGAATTGGAAAAACAGAGAGCTTCTAGAAAAATATTCAAATCAAATATACCAACCAAGGATTACCTGATAAATAATACGGTGCATCATCAGAATAACACGAGTCATATCTTTTCACAAGACTCGAGCGCAAACTTGTTTGATTCAGCTTATTCTGATGGTGTAACAACTACAACAGATATAGAAGAAACTAGAATTTTATCAACAGTTTCAATCAAAAGAATCAATCATGCAACCATTCAACAGTTACATGACACAGAAAAACTAATTGATAATGCAGAACCCAATAGTAAATTACCAAATCATATTGATAATAGTGATGATAGTCAAAGCATTCGATGTTCAGCAGTCTCAGTTGTTCGAGTACCAAAATTGAGTTTACCAAACCAGAACAATTCAATCATATCTGAACAAAACACTTCAAGTACGTCATTATCGAAACTATTGAAATTGAATCAAGTAAAGGTCACCAAAATATCACGAAAACAATCAACTTTAAGTCAACGGGCTCGAGCATTAAGTGTTGATAATATTAGCACTATTCATATAGGAAAGCCTTTTTCCGTAATGCAATCATTGACTAATGAATCAACAGCTGCTTCGATTGCCACAAATATCAATATACATAAAGGCAATAGAGTAACCGTGAAAAAACTTCCAAGAAAATCTAATATTTCTCAATCTCGTCCTTTATAAATGGATACCATTATTGATTATTTGACTGTTAACATTATCCTTAATTTTATAGAATTTATTCATTGTATTGCTTTTTTTTATTGATTTATATAAAAAAGAAATTCTTCTTAATATTCTTATACTTTAGAAAATTATACTGTTGTCGAATACTATCAAGAAGGATGTATCGAATTCTATTGTATAAGACAAAACATTCAAAATGTATCATATAAAATATCGTATCAACAGCATTTTTACAATATTTCCTGTGAATGTGCAAAGCTTGTATAAATCTTAATGTTATACATTCATGCTCTGCAAAGTCTATTTATCTACTAGTTGAGTAAAAGAAAGCATTCAATATAATACTGTTGTATGAGGAGACATCGGTTTAATAATCATTTAATTGAAGATTATTATAAGATGGATGAATTATTTGATTAAATGTTCTCTACTGCACGTATTATGCATACCAAGTAACAGATAAATTAGGAACGAAATAAAAAGCAGAGAGATAAAATTTCTTTTATTCCATTGATCATGGCAGAATACATGTTAAAACTTGTGGAAATTGAAGTAACTTCAATTTATTTATTTTTTACTGAAGAATCACTTTTCATCAATGAAGTTTTATTAATAGATTAATTTCAATTGAATTTGTATCAAGAAAATTAGTTAAAATGTCTAACATAGAGAAATCTGCTGATGAGATTTACAATACTTTTCCTGTCAAAAACCAAATCAACTTGTAAAGAAGTCGTTTCCTATACATGAGAATGACGATATAGGTGAATTTCACTTTCTTCTATTGATCTATAATAGCTCTCTCATCCCCAAGAGACCGTCCTCTTCACATTCACATTGTACACACAGCAATCTTAACTTTGATCGAGCATATAATATAAGTAGTGGACTTATTTGAGTTTACTTTTCTAATAAACTTTTGAAACACCCTGTATATTTTACACGATTTTTAATCGTAATATATAGCGTCACAAGTTGCTCTTACCATTCTTATCATCGTTTATCGTATATCACATGGGTTGTTTCTCCACAAACAAATATAAATTTTGTCAGTGCTTGCTTGCATTTTTTTCTCCTTTCGAATCATGTGAATCTATTCAACTCAATTCGATACGCTCGTAAACGAATACGAAAAAAAAAACTATACTTCATTTCATATGTTAGTATTTCGGTAGTATATCTCTATAGTTACATGTTGAGGAATATGACCATTGACTGAAAAAAGCATTCCTATCACTCATCATTTTCTTATGTAGACGTCATATTCAATCTTACAGCTCTACAAAGGTTATATTTCTTTATCATATCTTAAAAGGATGGTTGTATTTGGAAAGGCAAGAACAAAGAAATCGTGGACACCTAAAGAACTCCAAAATATCATTGTGGTAAAGCACTGTTATTTTTCAGAGTGACTCTCACTAAGTTTTCCTCTGTAAACGATCAGGAGTCATTCTCTATGAACTTTATATTGTTGTTCGTTTGATATTGGAACTTGTTTTTTTTTTCGAATAAGAGTTTTAGATTAAAATAGTTCTACATGCCGATTGAAGTTATTGTTGCGGGCTTACCTCGTTCTGGTACGCTTTCCATGCACAATGCACTCGAACTATTGGGTTATCACAAAACGATACATACGCTTGCTCACAGAACCACTACGGAACAAATGGAAGCTTGGAGAGAAATTTATGAGAAACATCTGGAGAAAACATGGACTAATGATGATTGGCGAAAAATGATTGACACGTTATATCCAGATTTTGTTGGAACTGCTGATGCTCCTTCTTGTGATTTTGCTATTGAACTTTCCAGAGCTTATCCTGAGGCAAAGGTATGAACATCTAGCATGTTTCACCATATTCTTATTTCAAGTGTTTAGGTTATTTTACTCTATCGAGACCCTGACAAGTGGTACAAATCGCACCAACACCTTCGAGCTCAATTTAATTTATCCTATTGGGAACTATTCTTAATTCTTCAAGAAAAGAGAGCTCGATCGCTCGTTCATATGGCACGTGCTGAATATGCATGGTGGGAAGAAGTGTACGACTATTCTAGAAGGGGCAAAGATGTTATGCCATTCTATATGAATAAAATCAGGACAAATATTGATGCGAAACGAATTTTAGAATTCAAAGTACAAGATGGCTGGGAACCATTGTGCAAGTTTTTGGGCAAAGAAATTCCAAAAGAAGATTTTCCTCACAGTAACGATGCTCAAGCATTAAGTGAAGAGCGTAATCAAATAAAGAACGAGACTTTAACTGTGTTAATGCAACGGTTCAAGGAAGCATTGATAACAATTAGCATATTGACAGTCGTAGGTTCAATTTATTGGCGAGGACTCTTCGATTGGAGCTAGATCATTAATTTAAATAAAATGGTGCTATTATGGGTATTTCAAAAAGGTGCATACCACAACATTTTGCTTGTATTTTAATAGTTTATATTAAAAGAATATAGATGTAAGTGTGGGTGAAAAGAAGATAAACAGTCTCATCAACCCTCCTCTCTTTCGTAGATTCTGTTAAATAAGAACTATTATTGAATATGAATAATGAAGTTTTGGATATTTTTGTCAGACAAAACGTTTGTCTCATGCTGTTTTCACCGTGAAATAAGGTGCAACTTCTTATTTAGAATAGACGTGTTCTGTTAACTATAGTTGATCAAATTATCAAACAGAAATATACAATTAAGCAGCACATCACTTGTTATTCTGTTGAACAAATATGATTTTCTTGTTTTTCTTTGATATCACCCCTCTTTTATATTGTTGGTGAATGTTCTATTGTTGTTATGTACAAACATTTTCAAGAGAGTACACATTTGAGAAGAATTAAATAAACAAAAAAATAAAAAATAAACAAAGATAGAGTGGAAAGGATGATCATGCTGCAAACGTAAGGAACAAACAAATTGAGAGCAAACACACATATGTTGTTTGAGGCAAAAAGCAATCCTATTCACAACAAGATATTATTCAATTTACTCGCAACATTTCGGCTTCGATTACTTGCAAGTAGGAAGCAAATTATAATAAAGAATTCAACAAAAAATTACGCTTTTTTTCAATTTTATATAATTAACGCCAAACTATGGCGAATACTCTATTTAATTTCTTCTCTTATCATATTCGGGTGTGAGTGTAAGTAGAATAGGAGATTTGCCTAAGCCACATTTACGCATCTATTATGAAAGAACAAGTAGTACCTGTAATAAAAAGTTGAAGAACAATTAGAAAACAAAAGGTGTACTTATTCTCCATACTTCTCTTGAGACTCAACGATAGTTCTTAAAATCAAAATGATTCTTTTTTTTTTTATTTCTAATATGTTTTCTGTTTAGATTAATTTTATTCGCGATCATGCTACTTTTTAAAAATTACTTAATAATAAAAACTTCAATTGACACAAAAATGAAGATAGCTCTATATTTTTTGTTCTTTTTAACAAAAGATTAGGATATTTCTTAATTTTATAATGGCATAGAAAGTAAAAAGAGCACTTCTTGTTGACTGTAATCCTCAAAAACATAATACAGTACTTAGAAACTTACATTGAACTAGTCAGTGAAAAATTTTCTTTATCTTTTATGCATATTCATGATTATTGATTCAATCATCTATAGGTTCCAAGAGTTTCATTGAATATTTTGAGCTTTTTCTCTTTTGACTCAATTTTTGTCTGCTTATCAAAGGTGTAATTCAAATTTCTATTCAATCTGAATCTAATGTTTCTAAATTCATCGTTTAAAGATGATATAGGATGTCGATATCAAAAAGAAAATATGTAATTCAAGGTGACTTAAATAAAAATGAACATGGATACATTTATATAATAATGTGTGACTTTCGTTTCTGTTCTAAAATATGGAAACGTCGTAGAACACTCGTCCAGCTTTGCATAGAGACTAAGTTTTTTTTTTCAAAACAGTTCAATGAGAGTTTATGTCAAATTGCCGATATTTTATATGCACAAATTTTCAGAAGTAGGATGGATGTGGATGTGGGTTTCAGAATGCTCCTGGTTCTATATTCACACCCACACTCAAATCAGTAGCTAAATTCAAAGTCGTACCCACACCCGTAACTGATTAATTCTCCTTAAATCTGGCGTTCATTTTCAAAAGTAAAGTATCTTACCGTGTCTTAATGAATATTTTCATTCTTAACGAAGGTAATTTCATAACTCATCGTTCGATATACTACTGTGTTTGGCACGAAATTCATTTTCAAACATTCATATTTATATAATAATGAGCGAAATACATTCAATCGAGGATTATTCAGAGCTACTATCTTGGGAGACAATTATGTTAGATAGAGGAAACGAAAAAGCACAACTTTACAAGGAACAACCATTGTATATAATTAGTGTCTTTTTTATTTGTTTCTCTTGATTTCTAAGCAGGCAATCCTGACGGACTTTCAAACGGATACAATAACTATGAATGTGTCGATGTGTAATGACGGTGGGTGCATAGGTTCTGTTTTCTGAGGTATCCACACCTTCTATATGCGAGTTCATTTCGTTGAATATACTAGTTAGTTATTCATTGGACTTCAATATTTCACGATTTATTACTATAAATTTCTATTAGAGAAACAATAGGAAATATTATTTCTTTTTTATTTGACGATTTTTCGATCAGTATTGCAATAATAAAATTTCAATAAGAGATATTTGTTGAGACATGTAACTATAACATGATAAAAATTTATTATCAAAATTCCAATGTTATGATATCAGTTCAAGAATCGATGTGCATGTAGAGTTGGAAGAAATAGAGAGAACCATATCCTCCACACACATACTTTCTTTGACTGAAGAATAGTACATAGTTGAGTAGCTTATTCCTTACAAATTTCAAATATTAGCTTTTGATTATAAATCCTACAAAGCTGAATTTATTTTTCTCATAGTACACTTACTAGAAATTCCTATTCGATAAAAAATAGAATTCAAATAATAATTTTGAAGAAATACGTTGACGAGAATATCTTTCATTCGTGATTAAAGAAAAAAAAAGATCACAAAAAAATAGAGTTATCGGCTAGTGTAAAAAAAAGAATGAAATGAAACAAAAGCAAAACATTGATTTTAAAAATATACGAATAAAAATTTATGAGCTCATTGTAAATCATATCTCGAATCATTTTTCATAGCCATGTCTTCTGATGGAATACTTTTACCATATTTTAAATCACGTCCATACATCTGTGTTAATTTTTTTAATCGTATTCGAGTATCTGATGTCAATTGAGACCATTCGAAACGCCATGACCAATTTTGTGGACCATTATGTTCAACATCAGATGCTATTAATAATCAATTAAAAAATTATTTTATTTTCCTTTTCTTACAATTACTTTTCTTCCTGCTCGATATTAGAATGAAACGGAGTACGGTTAAAATCTGAGATAGAACTAACATTTGCTGATATACTTATTTGATTTTTTTCTTTTTTCTTCTACTAGAAATAATTGTTAAACGTATTAGACGATCATCTTTCTACTGAGAGATCGATTGAAATGAAATTCACTAGTCAACACAAATAGAGGCTAATTTGATATCTCTGACTGAGATCATAATCAGTCTAATTATGTCTTTTGATAGTGAAAAATAACTATTGACTGGTTTTTGTATTCAAGTAAAAATTCTGAAATAATTCAACACTATCAAAAATTTTCCAAAAGATGTTTAATACATTTTCATTTGTTTTTGCAATATGTAATAGTATAAGTTACCTGTTCCTGGTTTATTCATTCTTGTTGGAATATTTAAAAGATCTTGCATTTGAATAATTGTTCCGTTTGAAGCTGATTGTAAAAGAACTTGTATGAAATACCAACAAATATATTTATCAACATGTTTCTCAAGTTTTAAACCATCAATTAATTCTTTATGACCATCAATTGGACGACGAATGTATTCAATAAATTGATGTTTTTCTTTTTCGGATGCTTTTTCTATCCACCATTGTAATATTGTTGGATAATCATGAGTTCCTACGTTATTAAATTACAAAAAAGAAAAATTCAAATTGTCTGAAAGATTTTTGTTTTCCTTGAAACAGTATATATTTTGTCTCGAATTGAATATTTTCAAGGTATGAATAACTTTAAACAAACATTAAAAAAAAAAAAAGAAACAGATTCTCTAAAGAAATAATTCATTACAATTGCAAATATTTCAAACAATTTCTGATTCGATTCTTGAACTGTTGAATAAATGAATCAATAAATATAGGATATAAAACATGTTTTATATGAAAATTTTATTAATTTATAGTATAGTCCATTTGAGTTTAACATGTAAAATTCACATGTATCTTTTTAGCTTCATTATATCAATACAAAATATGTAAGGTGGAAAATCTCTAGCAAACTAGAGTTATTTTTCAAGGAGAAACGATCTTTCTTATTTAAATTTACATTTCGAATAGAATGTTTTTTTTTCTTTTGTTTTACTGGCATACCATTTATTGATTGCCTTATTATTATTATTATTATTCGCTCATCATGGTTTTTTTTTGTATACTTAGTTATTCTTAACTTAATATTACCGCTATTCTATATCTTAATAAACTTAGAAACATTGATATTGATCATTCTCCAAGATTCTAACTTGATCAGTTTATGTTTTTTATGCTGATCATATAACATTTGCGACTAATCAATACAGCACTACTCAATTTACTAAGACATGTAGTGGAAGGGAAGAAAGAGTCATACAATCTTAGCTTGAAACTTACACTCACTATTTTCTTCGAAAATATATGTGAATTCTACAAAGTCTGATTGAAATTCATTTGTTGAATATTAATTTACTAATGAAAGATATTTCAATGTGGATATTTTGAAGGTTACAAAAGTAGTTGTTCTATTTATAACAAATATAAATTTGATAAAAACCTGTATATGCAACTGAATTTGGAATATAATTATGAGGAGAATAAATATTTTCTGAATCATTATAAAATCCCATTTGTAAAATTTTAACACCAAATAAGTGAAATCGATCACGTAATTCAACTACTTCTGATGTAATATTACCCAAATCTTCCACAATTACTGGAATATCTGAACCAAATGTTTCTGTTATAGCTGTCAACAATTCATAACCACTAAAAAAAAAATCAGTAAAAAGATTTAAATTTTCTGATAGTAGTTAAAAGAAAAAGAGAAAGATAATGATAATTTTCTGTCAATGTAATTTCAATATTGCTTTTTTCCTCTATTAACCATTTATTACATGGATTGTCAATTTAGTTTCTTAATAAACTTTAATGTTCAATTGATTTATCAGTTACATATTAGAATGTGAAAAAGTAATGAGTTGCTTTTAAATCGGAACAATATGTATCATGTAAGTCTTGATAAGCTATGAATATTTTGAAAAGATTTCGGTTTATTATCTTATTGCTGCCGAGATGCTATACTTCTACCGTATATTTTAGCATAATGTCCGCATCTCTCTTTTAAGAACAAAATATGAGATATTAAAAGATTTCTCATAATAATCTATTCTTATTAAATCGCGTTGATGTGCAAAGTTTTCAAGTTGAATTGCAAAACTCAGTTTTCTTCGTATCCCTGAGGAAGAGGACCACGACATTGATCTAAAAAGTAGTATAACAATAGAATATCTTGATAGTGATAAGCGCTTAACTGAAGAATCTATTCATAGGATTCATAGCCCATTAAAATCTACATTATTTCTTTATAAAAGCATAGTTCTATTTGATTTAACTTACGGTGTTTTAACCCAATGTGCTTGTGAAAAATTTAATTCTTGTGTATCGATATCAACTGGTATAACATAATGTGATTCTAGACCACGGAAATGATCAAATCTAAGTAAATCAACAGTTGACAATGTTCTACGCAAACGTTTTATCCACCAATCAAATAAATCTTTTCTAACATCTTCATTATTCCAATCATAGATTGGCATATTCCAATTTTGACCTGTATCTGAAATGTCATCAGGTGGAAAACCTATCCAATAATACAAAGAAATTATTTGTATTATGAAGAGTTCACAAAACATGTTTCTTTCTGTTTAAATCTGAATAATATTTTAGTTTAAAAAAAAAAGAATTATTGATTTCTGTAATTATTTTCAATATTATAAACATTTGATTAATAATTGTCAGTAAAAATAGTTAATAAAAAGCTTGTCAACGTAGCTCTTTTAGAGTAAAACATGTAGCTCACATGCATTCTTGTGTTTTATTATACTAACACGAAATACATTAAGTGAAAAGGCTCTAAGAAACAATATAATTCTTCTTCAAGGATAACTGATCGTTAGGAAAATGATCTGTTTCTTTTATTTCTATATTTCGAACAACATTTTGTTTTAAACCATTGCTCATTATTGTTTTTTTTCTTTTCTATAGTCTACTTTTTTTTTTTTGTTCAACTCTATTATTACTAATATTCTAATCATTAATTTAACTGTCAAATAAGTCTGCAATATATATTCATTGTAAATACAACTTGTCTAAACACACTATTATGTATCTTTATTAGTTCACACAATTTATGTTGACCATGTGATGATTGTGACAAATCAATTCATGCGTACTGGAGACTTGCGAAGAACTACGAAATCCGATTTCAATGCAGACGGAGTCGGAATTGGGATTACTGAAAAGATTGTTTGAAGTCAAATCGAACTCTAAACTATAACCACGTCTGATGAACTTTTGCTAGTTGATACTACAATAACTTTTTTTTTAATATTAACAAACGAAAGACAGCACTCACTGCTAAAGTCTGGCACGAAGTCAATTTCGATTTAGTACAGAAAATTTTTTTGAATTAAATTTTTTGTTCTCTGATATTTACTATCTAAACTGATGCATTCTGTAAATTTCATTTTGTTTTAAGAATGAGTTTCATGACTAAAAAAGAAATGAATCATCTTTCACTGGCAACATTCAAAACAGCAACCACGTAGAAACATAACATCATTAATCAAGAAATATTTCAATATCATCTGAAGTAGAATAATTCTCGATTGCTAGAGCGTAATACAAAAACTGAAAAAGAAATTCAAAATTAAACAATAAAATACGTAAGAGATCGTCTGTCTTCAAATAGAACATTTTCCTAGTTTTATGGAGTTCTAAAAAAAACTTTTTCAGAGCCAGATTTCGAAATAAAAACAATTTATATCTGCAGGTCTCTTATCATTACTTATCGTTCTTGTCCTCTGGAGTATAATTCTTTTTAGCTGTATAAAAAAACAGAGTATTCATAAATGTATTCAGCTGTTTAAATTTCTAACAAGGTCTAATTAAAACCTATGCACACTATATGTTTCATCAAAAATCATAATGTGAGTTCTACAATAAAAAATACCTGCTAGAACAGTCGATTTCATGGTATCATTGTGATATAATTGGAATATATGAGAATTTGACCAAACATCAACTGAATCATAATCAATATACATAGGGATATCACCAATTATTTTTATTTTAAACTCATTTGCATATCTTTTTAAGTCATTCTATTGTTGATCAAATATATATTGAACAAATAAATAATACTCTATACGATCTTTTTCAAGTTCACGAATCGTTTGTAAAGCAGTTTGTTCATGGCGACGTAAAGGTACAGGCCAATCAGACCATGTACTATTTTTATGCTAAAAAAAAAATTCGTCTGTGTATTTTTCTTTAATTAAGATGAGCTGCTCTTATTGTCACTCTTCGACGATAGAGAAAAAAATAACTTTGAATAATACTATTCTAAAACGTTTTTCTATTCAGATTAAAATTTACTTCATATTAAGAACGTATTTAAATAAATTTTCTTCAATGAATGCGTCAGATACCTGTGAAATAATTGAGAAAATTATTATCCTTTTCTGTCTCGTATACAGAGGAATTTGATCATTGAAGGAGACCGAACTGCTAGTTTACTGTCTCAATTTTACTTCATACTTTCTCGTGTATGATCTACATAAACGATCATAAAAAGCTCGTCTACGACGCAATACAATTGTTTTCGATCGTATAGAGATTTCTTAATATTTGTTTATGGACATAAGTCACAATCCCTATTTTAATTTCCTTAAGAATAAATGAAATAAATCAAGACAATCTCAAAATCGAAACTTATTAACACAATGATAGATTATAAAGGCCTAGCTGGATTCTTAAAAAAAAAAAAGAAGATATCACTCAGGAGGCTGTAAAAATCGACAACTCTGATAATTCTTCGTCACCACAAGCCGGCAGAACAGGCTAGCACAACATTGAAACTCATATACCTCTATAACGAATAATAAATATGGATTCTTAAATAATTTTCTCATATTTTTCTTCAGTAAATTCTTTAACTATTTTGAATTCTATTTTATACTCATTATTCAATCGATTAATTATGCTAAAATTTAAGCAATGTTATCTGTCCGTGTCTTTCAACTGTTCGAATATGATATCAATTCTTCAATTCGAGAATCATACAATGCAATGGATTTCTATATTCAAACATTTAGGTCATGTAAGTTGAAGATTTGCAAATTCATAAGCAAACACTACTGATGAACTCGATCAGATTTGATGAATTTTTCTCAATAGAATTTTAACGTGTTCCCTTTTTTCACGAGACTACTAACCTGTGACATTATGTTCATCAATTATCAATAATTGAAGCTTAACCATTTTTATAATACTTTGCTAAATTATATATATATATTGTTGCTTTTGTTCTGAGAACTTCTTCTTAGCTTTCGCTCATGATGAAGGATCAGTCGATAGTTATCTTCTGTTAGAATCAACGTCCCTGAACATTCACAAGTCCTTATGACAAGAAGATAAAACATGATTTCGTTATCTTCACAGGTCAGAACGATTTGCTTCACATACTAATATGTTTAATAGAGTCATAATATGAATATCATCTCACAGCAAGACATTCCATTTTTCATGTTCAGTGAAAGAGATTTTCTATGCTTTGCGGAGTTTTTAGGAATGTTCTAACATGTCTATATTAATTCTTTTTTTTTGTTTTTCCACTTCGTCATTTTACTTTATAAACGAATAAAGTTCTAGTAATTGCCCGAATATTCAATATCAAATGAGATAAATACTTCTTGTAAAAATTATCTTTATATCTATAATATAATGTTCTTATACAATAATAGAATAAAATAATTGAAAGATTAATTAGTGATAAAGAATTTAATCTATAGTCTTACTTTTTCTTTGATTGTCATAAATAACGTATAATCATCAATCCAATATTTTTCGCGTTGAAAAAAATCATTTAGAATTTCTGAAGCTTGTGAATTATTATTTTTAAAATTAAGATACGCTTTTTCCAATAGTTGCTTTTTGTTTCTCTTTATTTCACGAAAATTAACATATGAATTGTTAAATTTTGATCGATCAATTAATTTTAAATCATCTTTTGATATTAAATCAATTTCAAATAATTTATCTGGTGATATTAACCATGAATGACCTGCAAATGCAGATATACCTATTGAAAAATAAAAGTAAAAATGAACTTTGAATTTTATTAAATAATATATTTGAAATGAAATATAAAAAAATGTAGAACGACGAATGGAATATTTCAAATGAACTTTCAGAGTAAAAACTAGACAATATTTTTTTTGTTTATCTTTGAATATTTCTTCCACTTTCTCATGTCAAAACAAAATCTTTAAATTAGGATATGATATTTAGCTGAAACTTTTCAGGCCTATTAATAGTATACATCTATATATCAAAAAAAAAGTTTAGCCTTGCATTTTATTCTTGGTGAAAATTAGGACAATTTTATTATATGTATAATATCTGTTTTGAAGTCTCCGACATCTCCAGCAACACTCGATCATCTTAACCAAAAAGTTAGGTTTTTTATTATTATGATTTTCCTCTTTTAATTTGAAGACATTCATCAACATCATATGAACATTATGAAAACAGTCAAATTCTGATTGCCACTAACATTTTATTTTTCTTCGATGAGTATTTTCCATAAAACAATTACAAGAATCACTAACTCTGAAAACAAGCTTTCTTATTTAACTTAGCATTCTGATAGGAAACCATTAGAGATAAATTATCGAACAAATAATCTAAGAAAAACGTTAAACAAATTTTTAAACTATTTTCTACAATAACAAAAAAATTTAAATTGATACATGTACTGCATGTAAGACACCACCGATTTTGTTTTCTTCTAGAATATTACTTTTTTTTTTACTTTATNATGAATTTATCATAGATAAAATGACTGAAAGTCATCGAATTCTGCATGGACACCTGCTGGAGGAACTCTGTCTACTATGGTGCGATGCAGTGACTTTCTTCAAAAAACTTAATTTTATATTTTTGTCAAAAGTACTAGTCAAGTGTGAATTCATCAGGTTGATCAAGTAGAGATTCTCGACCATCACTATTATGTCGATAATTGCTTGGAGCTTATAGCCGAGAAAATTTGCATGACAAAATTCATTTCTAAATACATATACTACAAAACTTCACCACGACATCGTCACACCACATATGCATAAATATGTTTCAAGCTATCTCTAATCGAAAGGTATAAAACCCATTCAGCAATCACTGGATTCTCTAGACTTGATACTAAATGGATTTTGTTTATTCGATGTAACCAAGAGCATCAACTCGATTAACAAAGATGATCATTAAAATAAACTATCTACAAGCGATTTGAAGGAATTCAATTATGTGTAAATAATCAGAAAAACCACTGTCGACGTTTAAAGAAATAAAATCTGAAATTACTTGTTTCTAAATTTTTTTTTCTTGAAAATCTCATTACTTTTGGTATGCCGTAAGTATTAATATCTGAGAAATTAGTATTTTAAAGATAATGTCTTAAATTCGAATCAGTACATGATGAACAGGGTGTGGGTGTGCGGATGAGTGAGAAGATTCACACCCAAACCCTTCTTTTATTTCACTGAAACTTATTTTGTACAGATAACCAATAAGGTTGTTCGCAATCTAGTTGAAGGAAACGTAGTTTATCCAGTTACAGCTGATCCGTGACTATGCTTCTGGATTTTAAAAAAAATTCGAAATTTTCCGGATTTTTATACATTCCCAATCCAGATTTTTAACTTACACATGTGGCAACTCTGGTGTGAGTGTTTTTCTTCTGATCGTCACCTACACTCAGCTCTTACTTTCTTTGGTATGATGGATAGTTTGCAGTGTGTAAAAAAATTTTTATATCAAACGAAAGCTTTTTTTATAGGAGGTTCTTATTATTAATTAGTAGATCAATATGAAACAACTTATAATAAAGTATTATATTAAATTAAATAATCAATTGTATAGATGTTGGATTGAATATTTGATAAAGATATCGTCGTTCATCATCCGAAATATTGTTATAGGTGGCCAACAGCGAGCTTAATGCTCTCATATTTGTCATTGGATATGGAATACTATGCAACTGATTATAACTAATTCTTAACGTGTACAATGTTGATGATACATCCATGATTTCAAGTGGAATTGATAAAATTTTATTATAACTCAAATCCAAAACTTGTAAGGATGTATATTCTCTAATACCATCGATGGATGCCAAAGAATTATTACTTAAATAAAGTTCACGAAGATAAATAAGTGGTGGTTGTTGAAAAATATTTCCCTGAAAGTTATTCCTCGATAAATCAAGAACTTGTAAATTTGGTAAATCAGTTGATAATGTTAATGGTAATGCTGATAATTGATTTGATTTCATAATCAAATTGACTAAAGATTTTAATGTTAAAATACTTTCTGGAAAGGTTGTGAATTGACATCCAGACAAATCAAGATTTTTGATTGATGACACATCACGAAATGAAATATTTTTCGATAGAGCACTTGCTGTAATACTAACAGTTGATAAGGATGGCATATTTTCAAATGAAATTGATTCAAAATTAAATAAAAAAGATAAACTAACACTATTTAAATGAGATAAATTTTTTAATGTAGCTATTTTGAATTGTAGACTATCACTTAATGAAATTGTTTGAAGATTAGATATATTTTCCATATCTAAAGAAATTAATTTTGAATTTGATGACATTGTTAATGATAATAACGAAGATAAATTTTGAAATTTTAATGTTAATAATTCCGTATTATTTTGAATTTCAATTGAAGCTAACAGTAACATATTCACAATTTCAATTGTTTGTAATATTGAGTTGGATTTTATTTTCAAATTAGATAATGCATCAAGATTTTCTAATTCTACATTCTTAATACCCGTGTTAGTTATTTCGAATTGTACTAATGATTGAAAATTTTTTATTGTTGACGGAATAGTTGATAAATTTGGTAAATCAATTAAATTTAAACTTCTAAGATTAACTAATTTGCCAATACTTTCATCAGATATTTTATTAAAATTTGGAATATTCTGTAATATTAATGTTTGCAATTGAATTAAATTTTCAATCTCATCAGGTAAATCTTCAAGATTTTTAATATCAGATAATTCTAAGTTTGATAAAGATATTAATTGTCCCAATTCCGATGGTAAATGTTGACCAATACTACTATAATCTGATCGAATTATTAATGATGTTAACTTTTGAAAATTTTTAATATCAGATAATATTGTTAGATTTGTATTTACTAATTGAAGGCTTTGTAAATTTTTCAAACAATATATATTTGAAGATGGATTAACATTCTTAAATATATTAAAAGCTGTAACTTGTGATTTACCATCGTAGTGAACGGATGTAGATAAAGGATAAAGATTAAGTGAAACATAAAATGGATTTAGATTGATAATTTTAAGATCATTGGTATATATAGTACAATCGATCCCTGCATTGCTAACTAAACTCAAAATAGATGAAAAACGAAATCTTCTTTCATTGGAAAATATTTTTTACCTTGAATATTGATGGCTAAGAAATAAATAACGAATAATGATAGAAATATTTTCATTTTTTTCAATTATTTTTTACTTTTAATCTCAATCGAGGTTTTTTTTTTATAGTAATCAAATGTCAGTTGTTGATTTTCTCGTTGATTATTTGACTCATGATTTGTTGATCAAGTTTAACAAAGCTGATTAAAATCCCATAAGCAAAAACAATAAAAGCCATCGTTATTTTACAATTACAACGCTAAATAACATGTATTCGATAAAGGTAGAAAATGAATGTATTATCTCTATAGGCGTATAAACCATGGTAAAGTTACAAGATTAAGACTATAGAAGTATTCTAGCATTTCCATAAAGAAGCTTAAGAACTATTGTAAAACTAACTTTTGGGATATCATTAGAATCAAAGTTACATTAAAACAGAATCATATGGTAAACGCAAAATACTCTTAGTCGATTTTATGTTGAGACACAGTTCTTCACCATTTTGTTACTTAATCCATTATAAATACAATTGCAAATTATTTCACATATTATAACGAAACATTACTTGGCATACAGCCTGTGACGGTTGCTGATGAGCGCGGAATTCAAACGTCTTCTTTATATACTTCAATACCCCTTCCAGATCGTGTTCCATACAACAACAAAAAACAGCATTATAATTTGGTGTTAATGTAAGGATAAGCATCCACAGCGGGTGGATGGGAGCAGGACGTGGATATCTTTCTTTATCATACGCATTCCCACAGCTACACCTCACCCACACTCAACTTAATTTTTCAATAGCATCATGAAAGTTTTTCAAATATAGACAATAATTCCATATCATCACAATCTATTTTTAAATAGCTGCGTTTTTTGTTCATCATCTAGTATTGTTGGTAATTCATGATAGACTTTTAAAAAAGAATCAAAGCTGAAATATACACCAATAAAACATGTATCACAATAATTCTGTAAAGATGCTGATATCAGAGACTGCTTGTGACATTGACGTACTCTAGTAACAATAGATTGAACTATTTTAAACAATAATTGAGCCCCATCACACTATATATCATTGTAGGTGAATGCATGTTCAAGTAGTGTATTTACATAATGTGCGTGGCATCCAATACGTTTAACATCTTCTTTAAGAGCGCTCTTCATCTTATTTTCATTAGGGTGTGGGTGTGAAGGTGATGGATATGAATGGGTGTGGGTAGAATGAAGGTGATTGCTCACTTCGCACATCCACACCCACATTCCTTCAGAATTGGAATTTTTCTCCATCATGTAAAATGAAATGTCGCTGATATCAGCGATTTGTCTTTCATTGGAAAACATGATTTTTAAGCATTTATTCTATTGCCAAAGCCATGAAACTACAATGAGTATATAATTATATTGCTTATCACCGAAAGGTGATATACATAATAAAAAAAGCTGAAATCAATTTTCGTCTCTGTGTATAATCGCTTCATCAATAATGATGAATTCTAATGATTTATATATCTAAAAAAGTGACAAACAGGAAAAGGAAGTTGAATAAGAGAAAGTTGATGATCATTGTCTAATGTATCATAAACTTTAAACAAAAGACAAACGTATTAAAATTATAGAACTCTGAGTAACCACAGCTGATAAGTAGTTGCTCTTGTTGTTGCGTTTTACTAATGCAGAGAGACGAAAATATCGAGTTCATTCTCTCTCTCTCTCTTTCGCTGTGAGGGTTATCCAATCGTATGCTTGACGCACTATAATAAAATAGTAACGTTTATAATCAAAATGAAGTATTATATGCTTTAAATGTCTTAGTGTATGTGTAAAATATAACTCTCACAACATGTATTCAACATTGGTTTCGAAATTTTTTCTGAAACTTTCATCAGTAATCAGGGGTTTTCTATCAAATATAAAAATTACGGATGACATCATAATTTATCGAGATTGTTTATGGGTGATTGGTGAAAATCATTTTTCGTTACGATAATCGCAATTCAATGCAATTGTTTTTTTTTCTGAAAATTATCAAAATCGCTACGATTTTCATGACATAGGTAAAATCTTATAATAATGCAAGCAGAGAAACATTCCCAAGGTACTCTCAGGACATCAATCCTACAGTGCAATTATCAGCTATATGTTTAAAAAACGATAATTAATGCATTTCTAGTATAAATCAGACAACAAAAGAGGCTATTGCAGAGCTCGTCGTGAGATTGATTATTCCGAACAGGTACGAATTTTTTCTATGAATCTGAACGCGCATGAATTTTTTTTAATGCATTTATTCGTAAAAAAAAAGAATTTTGGAATCGACTATGATGATCTAGAAGAGAGTATCACTCAAACAGATTCTGTCTTAGATGATAATGAACATGTGACGAACATGAAATTGATCGCGGGCTTTCTTGGTATCTTACAGAATCCAGAAATAGGCGCACTTCATCCATGCCTTGACTGGGTGACCGCTCTTCTTTCGAAAGATTTCTTCTGACAAATTTTAACCTAACTATTAATTATAGAATCCAGGAAAAAATCATAAGGGTAGATGGCTCAATTGCAGACGAATTTATCGAGTTGCATATGCTCAATGGTGCTGCTTTAGAACACTCAATTAAGTGGCTTGAAAAAGACGAATATATTAAAAACATTTCTGGAGATTATTAAATGCAATCCTTCTTCGATGACATTTTTATTAACTTGTCTTTTTTACAATGGATGTGGGTATGCGCTTAGGTAGATGGCTGAAGAAAAGACTTGCCTACACCCACTCCCTTAGAAAAAAATAATGAACAAGTCTTCGATGCTACCAATTATAAGCTGCCTAGCTTTTGTTCAATACTCGGAGCTTTTCATTTGAGACCTGAAGAATAAAACATATGAAAAATCATAAAAATATCGTTTATTGCTCATCATTGTCGTTTATCCTCTTGATAAATATGTAGCCGTTTGTATAGCATCAAAATTATAACCACTTGTAACTTCACTAGCCCCTGCTAATGAAAAATTCTTTTTTTTAATTAAAATGTGGTCATTATTTACTTTTAACAAAATTTTTTTCATGGAAATCACTGTTCTTTTTGGTTTAATTTTGTTACTGTGTAATCCCATGGACTTAATGGCGTTCTAGATAATCTCATAGTACCATTATATTAACTTAATGTTTATTGGCAGTTTTTTTCAGTGTTGGTTTTATAGATGCAGACATCGGCAGTCAATAATAGTATGTATAGACTGATACAAAAGTTTGTTTTTCAGGAAGAAAATCTTGATTGTCTCCGTCATACTTTCACTAAATGGACAGAGTTTTCTACTACCAATAAGAGAACGTTCATAAACTCTATTGGTAAGAAAAATGATAATAATGGTGATTTCGAAGTATTATTTTTGAAATGACTATAAACCTGTGATCTTTGACTAGCTAAGAAAACAGACAACATTTCGCATAATAATTCACTAAATAGCATCAATTTTTTTCGTGATCAAAAGTTTTAGACTACATTAATTCATAAAAAGTATATTTGGGGTGGAAATTTAGGATCAAACAACGATTGTATGGAACATTATTAACAAATATTGTGTACTGTTTATTTGTGCTCATTAAGACCAACATATGATTATTCTTCGAAACTCATCAACATTACTGGTCCACGTACATGTTAAAAGTAATATTTCAACACCAGATTATTTCCAGATTTTTCTTATAAATATAAACGATACGTACTCATTTATGAACAGTTAAAATATCAGTTCATTTTATCAAAGTATGTGAATGATCCTTGAATTTTTCTTCGTGAAGAAATAACTATTGGATCGCTGTGTATTATATTTCAAGTTTTACTATCGACTTCTTGAATAGTAATTATGAACAACAATGTTTGAACTTAGACAGGCAAATATTTCTTAATAGGCTTTGTGTGTGGATAGATTAAATTTTTATCACTAAAACAAAGATAGACTCATCGTTTTATGGGTATCCAAAATGATCGATGATTTTTTTCTGTCAATATTATTATTATGTATTGTAAAGATGACTGGAAAGATATTTAAGCGTCATAAAAAGGAACGTACATTTCATTGAAAAAATGTCTTAAGCTGTTTGTATTTAATATTATATCTGTACGACATTCAATTGTAAGAGTGACTTCTACTGAGTGGTTATCGCATATTCAGGAAAGTATTATATATATATATAATATACCTCATTGTATTCATGCATAGTAGCCTCTAACAATCATCTATGTAATAGTAAACGAAATTCGATTGCCATAACAATGGTGAAATAAAGACAACAAAAAGTATATCCTTGTACGTATGGATAGAATAAAAATTGGTTTTAAGATTTCTTATGATAGTACTTTTCAAATGCAAAATAGATATTTGATATAATTCATTGTGAATATCTACAAATGATTGATATCTCATTTTTTTAAAAACAAAACAGTTTTTACTTATTGTCCTTATTTTAGCTACTAAGAGAGAGCGTTCTAGAAAAAAATGTATTAACTAGACATCTTCATACCCGTTCTAAATCATACTTTCATATGAAAGTTCTTAAAGTCGATCGTGCCATAACAAAATTTATAAGATTAAAAATCAACAGAGTCGATTAACCATTTGTAAAAGTAGACTACAAGCGAGACTCTAAAAAGTCTGAACCTAAACCGTGAAATTTCAAATCAAATTGTTCTTATTTACATGGGGACTTATAATGATAAAAATATTTCAAGGAAATTTAGAATTGAACAAGAACTTTTTGACATACTGCTATTGCATAACCATTCGATGAATTATTCACGTACAAAATAGTATCTAATAATGTTATTAACAATGATACATACATACAAGATAGATTTGAATAATCGCACAAAAGAATACTGTGAGTTATCCATTTAAATCAATAATATACATCCAATAATCTACTTGAACGTTTACACTCTTGTCTTCAAATTCCAAATATACATGTGATCCTACAAATCCCCATACCCGAAAATTGCACCATGTAATTTAACTTTAGTGGAGATCTTCATCCGTCTGGTTGTTCAGTTTCGTATCAGCACCAACGTAAAAT